TCACGCGGTGCCTGGCGGAGACTGTAGACTGGCCGTCGGAGGCTCCACTGGGTGCCAGGAGGGAAAGTCCCAGTGAAGCCAGGCGGACGGCGCAGCCAGATCTCCTTGTGCAGGCTACCCTGCAGGAACGCAGTGCTGAAGTCGAGAGAGTGAAGCTCGTAGTCGCGCTGAGCGGCTATGTGCAGCAGCACCCGAAGAGTAGTCATCTTCGGGGTGGGAGAGAAGGTCTGAAAGTAGTCAACTCCCTGCCGCTGACTGAAGCCACGAGCAACGTACCGTGCCTTGAAGACAGGTGGAGAGCCCGGCGGCCGCTTCACCCTGAAGATCCACATGCCACTGACGATGTTCGCCCCAGGAGGGGGAACCGCGTCAACATAGGTGCCTGTGGACTTCCAGGAAGCCATCTCTGCATCCATAGCTGCCTGCCACTGAGAGGAGTAGGGACCCTCTACGGCCTCCGCGTAAGAACGCGGAGTCGGGATGTCTAGTGCATCCGGGTCTCCCTCAGGGGCAAGCAGTACAGACGCGAGATGAGGTGAAGCAGCCGCTAGACACTGTAACTCCTCCTGCGTGTCCTCTAGGACGTCCGTGCCAAGAGCACACTCACCCCCGACGGACGGAGGACAGACAGACGCAGACTCAGCAACAAGACTAGCAGCGTAGTCGAGACGACAGCGAGCAGCAAAGTCGACGAGCTCAGCGACTAGAGCAGACGCAGCAGTGGACTCAAAAGATGGGTCAGTGACGACAGTAGCAAGCAGACGCGTGATAGTAGGACTGGCAGCACGAAGAGAGTCCGACTCAGGGTCGGCAAGCGCAGGAAGAGAAGACTCAGGAGAAGAAGGCAAAGGGGCACGCAGAGGAGCAGTGGACAGACGCAAAGACATCCAGTGCGTGCCAGGGACAGGAGGAGGACGCTGATGCGAACTGCGACCACTAGCGCGTGCAGTACGAACAGGCGACGCGGGACGAGACGCAGGCTCACGACGCTCAGCAAGACCTCCAGTAGGACCAGTGTAAGGAGAGGGAGCAGGCAGTGGAGAGGAAGGCTCCAGCAGGGACTGCGACTGGACAAGCGGTGGACCCTCTACTGGAGGAGAAAGACCAAGAACCTGCTGCAGGAGCGGAACGAAGTACGGCCGAGGCCGCGCGGCAGCTCCAGACGCAGCAGGGACAGCACAAGCACCCTCAGCGACAGCACCAGCGCCACCAACACCTCCAGTGGCAGGACCAACAGCAGGAGTCTCAGCACCAACACCCTCAGCAGCTCCAGCTCCAGGAGGACCCGCAGGCCCAGCAGCTCCGGGACCGGCAGCACCAGCACCCTCGACTGTCGAAGAAGCTCCAGCTCCAGCTCCAGCAGCACCCCCAGACTCAGCAGCACGCCTCCAGCGGCGAGCGAACCACTCGCGCAGCTCCTGTGGAGAGAGGGGCTCCCGGCGAGGCGCAGCAGTAGGAGACACCCCAGGCTCGGCAGCTCCAGACGCAGCACCCCCAGGCTCAGCAACTCCCAGCTCAGCACCCCCGGGCTCAGCAGCTCCCGACCCAGAACCCCCAGACCCAGCACCTCCAGGCACAGCACCCCCCGGCTCAGCACCCCAAGGCTCCGCACCCTCCGCAGTAGCACCCCCAGGCCCAGCACCCCCAGCAGTAGCACCCCCAGGCTCAGCACCCCCGCGAACAGCACCCCCAGAGTCAGCACCCTTAGGCTCAGCACCCGCAGCAGCACAAGAGTCACCAGTAACCTCGACCGGGTCAACGGCGTCTACCTGGGACACACCTGAGGGGGCAGGAACCTGAGGGGGGAGGGGGTCTACCGTGGGAGGAACCGGCACAAGGAAGTCCGGGGGAGGGGGGAGGGAAGGAGTGCGGTAGGGGAAGAGACGGTAGAAGGGGACTGACTCGTCGAAGGTGACGTCCTGGGAGGACAGAACACGACGAGAGGAGGGGTGGTAAAACTGCCACCCTGGGGCGTCAGTGGGGAAGCCAAGGAAGACACAGGGAGCAGCACGAGGGGACAGCTTGTCCGCAGACAAGTCGCGGACAAACGCCCGAGATCCCCAGACACGGAACGCCGACGCATCGCCAACCTTCCCCGTCCACAGTAAGACCGGGGACATCGCAGGCCGAGAGACCCGGGGATGAAGGTTGAGCTGATGCGCCGCGTACCTCACCGCAAACGGCCACAGAAAATGGGGGGCAGCCGCATGCATCATGGACGTACGAGCGACATCCATGACCATGCCAATGCGGCGCTCAGCAAACCCATTTTGCTGTGGTGAGTCCGGAAGCGTGAAGGTCTGGCGGATCCCCCGTGCACGACAGTAGTCTCGCAGAAGGCGAGAGGAGAACTCTCCGCCTCTGTCCGAGTGCAGACGCAGAACAGGAAAGTCCGAGCCGAAGCTCTTCCTGAGCTGGAGACAAGCCTCGCGGATCCAGTTGATCAGCACCTCAGTGACCGCACCCTTGCTGCGCAAGGGGAGGACTGTGGTGTAACGCGAGTAGTCGTCAACCACCAACAGGAAGTAGCGCTCGTGACCCTGCCCACGGACGGGGGCTGGGCCCCACACATCCATGTGAAGCGTCTGCAAGGGAGCCTCTGTCGGGGGGAAGTGGGAGGAGTGAGGAGTAGCCCGGAGGCGACCCTCGACACAGGGGACACAGGAAGGTCCTGGCCCGGAGGGGAGAGGAGGGAGAGACTGGGGAAGACCAGAGACAAGGACACGCGAGGCCATGCTCCGAAGCCGGGGCAAGGAGGGGTGGCCAAGACGGTGGTGCCACAGGAGAGTCTCGTGAGACAGGAGGCGACAAGAACAGGGGGCAGACTCAGGACCTGACCGGGACGCAGCAGCAAGCACCTGACCTGACGCAGCTACCTGACCGGACGCAGGGACAGGAGGAGACGAAGTGGTCAGGGTGTAGAGACTCGACCCCGGCCGACGCGAGAAGGTGGCCAGGTGTCGGCCTGTGCGTGCGTCCGTGCAGTGGGTCACCCGCTGACTCGCAGGAGTGAACTGGTGAACCCCCGCATCCTGCAGGGCTGCACCACTCACCAAGTTCGTAGAGAACGAGGGAAGGTACAGACCAGACAGGGCGCCCGAAGGGGCAGCCGGACACGGGAGGACAGTGGAGAAGTGAGACAGGACTGGACCCCCAGAGGGGTCAGCAAGGGAGACCGCAACCGGCCGGCCGAGCGGCGTAAGGGTAGTGCGGTCTCGAAAGAAGGAGCGAGAAGCCCCGGAGTCAAGTGTGAAAGTGAGGGAGGACGAGGGCGATGCAGTACCTGAGAGCGCAGTCTCACCAGTACCTGAGAGCGCAGACGCACTGGCACCTAGAGCAGCAGCCTCACAAGCACCTAGCGCAGCAGTACCAATGCCCGGGTCGGGCTGGAAACACCGGTAACCCTCATTCTCCTCACTATAAGTCACAGCATACATAGCAGCAAGGATAGCATCAAAATCAAGATCAAAGATCGCTACACCAGCCCTAAGAAGCTCATCCCAGCGAGGGATCTCACTAGCCCCGGGGAACTGCTGACGCCAAGCGAGTGCAAAAGAGCAAGAGCAAGGGCCTAGCGTGTGCAAAAAATCAAGAACAAGGGCATAGCGTTCGCCAAATAGCAAGAACAAGGGCCTAGCTTGTGCAAAATAAAAAGAACAAGGGTCTAGCATGTGCAAAATTGCAAGAACAAGGGCCTAGCGTGTGCAAAATAAAAAGAACAAGGGCATAGCGTGTGCAAAATAGCAAGAACAAGGGCCTAGCATGTGCAAAATATATGAACAAGGGCCTAGCGTGTGCAAAATAAAAAGAGCAAGGGCCTAGCGTGTGCAAAATTGCAAGAACAAGGGCCTAACGTGTGCAAAATTGCAAGAACAAGGGCCTAGCGAGTGCAAAATAGCAAGAGCAAGGGCCTAGCGTGTGCAAAAAAAACAAGAACAAGGGCCTTGTGTTCGCGAAATAGCAAGAAAAAGGGCCTAGCGTGTGCAAAATAAAAAGAACAAGGGTCTAGCATGTGCAAAATTGCAAGAACAAGGGCCTAGCGTGTGCAAAATAAAAAGAACAAGGGCATAGCGTGTGCAAAATAAAAAGAACAAGGGCCTAGCGTGTGCAAAATAAAAAGAACAAGGGCCTAGCGTGTGCAAAATTGCAAGAACAAAGGCCTAGCGTGTGCAAAATTGCAAGAACAAGGGCCTAGCGAGTGCAAAATAGCAAGAGCAAGGGCCTAGCGTGTGCAAAAAATCAAGAACAAGGGCCTAGCGTTCGCGAAATAGCAAGAGCAAGGGCCTAGCGTGTGCAAAATAAAAAGAACAAGGGTCTACCATGTGCAAAATTGCAAGAACAAGGGCCTAGCGCGTGCAAAATAAAAAGAACAAGGGCATAGCATGTGCAAGATAGCAAGAACAAGGGCCTAGCTTGTGCAAAATAAAAAGAACAAGGGCCTAGCGTGTGCAAAATAAAAAGAAGAAGGGCCTAGCGTGTGCAAAATTGCAAGAACAAGGGCCTAGCGTGTGCAAAATTCCAAGAACAAGGGCCTAGCGAGTGCAAAATAGCAAGAGCAAGGGCCTTGCGTGTGCAAAAAATCAAGAACAAGGGCCTAGCGTTCGCGAAATAGCAAGAACAAGGGCCTAGCGTGTGCAAAATAAAAAGAACAAGGGTCTAGCATATGAGAGTAAGAGAACAGGGACGAATGAACTAGCAGTGAAATGAGTACAAGTAGGATACCCTAGAATTGTGTACCCCCTATAGGCTAACCCACTGTAGCCTACACAAGCATAACATATATGATGTTTGACACACCCCCATAGGCAAAGTGGGGGAGAACAAGGGGTCACAAGACCAGTCAAGCAAAACAAAGCAAGCTCAGGGTGGATCACAAAGTCACCACACAGTCCGAGCACAAGAGCAGGGCCAGAGGCCAGTTCACATGCAGGAGTACAGACATATATATAAAACTAGACAAGCAAGAGCAGGTATATATATATGTCACAGTACAAGTAAAGTCAAGAGGAGAGCAAGTGAGGCAAGAGAGGCACAAGACCCAGCTGGGTGCAAAAGCGCTGATGGTCACAAGGCGCGAGTGCCTTGGTGAACACATCAGCAGTGTTGGCCTCAGAGGCCACGTACGCAAGTCGCAACTGACCACGCTGCTGCAGCTTACGAGCAAGGAAGTAGCGGAGAGCAATGTGCTTCGTTCTGTGCTCCAAGCGCTGCTCTCGACACAAGGCCAGCATGGCCTTGTTGTCTACGTACAGCACTGGAGGAGAACGAGGTGGCTCTCCAAGGTCAGTCAGCAGGTAGGTGAGCCAGCGAAGCTCCTGTGCAGCCATGGCCCCGGCGTAGATCTCAGCCTCACAACTGGAGCCGAGAACCGAAGACGAGCGAGTAGACCGCCACGAGACAGAGCCGGAACCAAGGCTGAAGGTGTAACCCTGTGACGACCACTGCGTAGCCTGGTCGTCAGCCCAAGAAGCGTCCGCGTGGCCTGTAAGGACCACTGGACTCCGCCCTCCAAGCACTAGCCCCATGCCCGACGTACTGCACAGGTAACGCAATACCCTCTTCGCTGCAGCCATGTGCTCTGGTCGGTGTCTCCCAGGAGCAACATAGCGTGCAAGGATGCTCAGAGGGTATGCAAGGTCAGGTCGTGTGCAGGTCATCAGGTACATGAGGCAGCCAACAAGCTCTGCATACGGACCACTCGACTCTACGGACTCATCCGAAGGCAGAGCTGAGAGTGAGTGGCGAGTAGGCAGAGGAGTGGCCTGAGGCGAGGAGTACGTGAAGCCGAAGCGCTGAAGGACCTGCTGCACCATGTGTGACTGAGTCAAGGTAATGGTGCGGCGTGCTCTGTCCCGAGTGATCTGCAAGCCAAGGTAGCTGCGCAGTTCACCCAGGTCTGTGCACGTGTGTCTCTTCAGCAGCTCGGACTTCACGTAGGCGAGTCCAGCAGTGTCCGCTGTGGCAAAGACCAAGTCGTCGACGTACACGAGGATGTAGAACGGTGGCAAGGAAGTGTCGGTGCGAAGAAACAGCGACGGGTCAGCAGTAGAAGGAGCAAACCCAAGAGCCGCAAGCGTAGTCCTCAGTGTGTCGTGCCACTCACGCGGTGCCTGGCGGAGACTGTAGACTGGCCGTCGGAGGCTCCACTGGGTGCCAGGAGGGAAAGTCCCAGTGAAGCCAGGCGGACGGCGCAGCCAGATCTCCTTGTGCAGGCTACCCTGCAGGAACGCAGTGCTGAAGTCGAGAGAGTGAAGCTCGTAGTCGCGCTGAGCGGCTATGTGCAGCAGCACCCGAAGAGTAGTCATCTTCGGGGTGGGAGAGAAGGTCTGAAAGTAGTCAACTCCCTGCCGCTGACTGAAGCCACGAGCAACGTACCGTGCCTTGAAGACAGGTGGAGAGCCCGGCGGCCGCTTCACCCTGAAGATCCACATGCCACTGACGATGTTCGCCCCAGGAGGGGGAACCGCGTCAACATAGGTGCCTGTGGACTTCCAGGAAGCCATCTCTGCATCCATAGCTGCCTGCCACTGAGAGGAGTAGGGACCCTCTACGGCCTCCGCGTAAGAACGCGGAGTCGGGATGTCTAGTGCATCCGGGTCTCCCTCAGGGGCAAGCAGTACAGACGCGAGATGAGGTGAAGCAGCCGCTAGACACTGTAACTCCTCCTGCGTGTCCTCTAGGACGTCCGTGCCAAGAGCACACTCACCCCCGACGGACGGAGGACAGACAGACGCAGACTCAGCAACAAGACTAGCAGCGTAGTCGAGACGACAGCGAGCAGCAAAGTCGACGAGCTCAGCGACTAGAGCAGACGCAGCAGTGGACTCAAAAGATGGGTCAGTGACGACAGTAGCAAGCAGACGCGTGATAGTAGGACTGGCAGCACGAAGAGAGTCCGACTCAGGGTCGGCAAGCGTAGGAAGAGAAGACTCAGGAGAAGAAGGCAAAGGGGCACGCAGAGGAGCAGTGGACAGACGCAAAGACATCCAGTGCGTGCCAGGGACAGGAGGAGGACGCTGATGCGAACTGCGACCACTAGCGCGAGCAGTACGAACAGGCGACGCGGGACGAGACGCAGGCTCACGACGCTCAGCAAGACCTCCAGTAGGACCAGTGTAAGGAGAGGGAGCAGGCAGTGGAGAGGAAGGCTCCAGCAGGGACTGCGACTGGACAAGCGGTGGACCCTCTACTGGAGGAGAAAGACCAAGAACCTGCTGCAGGAGCGGAACGAAGTACGGCCGAGGCCGCGCGGCAGCTCCAGACGCAGCAGGGACAGCACAAGCACCCTCAGCGACAGCACCAGCGCCACCAACACCTCCAGTGGCAGGACCAACAGCAGGAGTCTCAGCACCAACACCCTCAGCAGCTCCAGCTCCAGGAGGACCCGCAGGCCCAGCAGCTCCGGGACCGGCAGCACCAGCACCCTCGACTGTCGAAGAAGCTCCAGCTCCAGCTCCAGCAGCACCCCCAGACTCAGCAGCACGCCTCCAGCGGCGAGCGAACCACTCGCGCAGCTCCTGTGGAGAGAGGGGCTCCCGGCGAGGCGCAGCAGTAGGAGACACCCCAGGCTCGGCAGCTCCAGACGCAGCACCCCCAGGCTCAGCAACTCCCAGCTCAGCACCCCCGGGCTCAGCAGCTCCCGACCCAGAACCCCCAGACCCAGCACCTCCAGGCACAGCACCCCCCGGCTCAGCACCCCAAGGCTCCGCACCCTCCGCAGTAGCACCCCCAGGCCCAGCACCCCCAGCAGTAGCACCCCCAGGCTCAGCACCCCCGCGAACAGCACCCCCAGAGTCAGCACCCCCAGGCTCAGCACCCGCAGCAGCACAAGAGTCACCAGTAACCTCGACCGGGTCAACGGCGTCTACCTGGGACACACCTGAGGGGGCAGGAACCTGAGGGGGGAGGGGGTCTACCGTGGGAGGAACCGGCACAAGGAAGTCCGGGGGAGGGGGGAGGGAAGGAGTGCGGTAGGGGAAGAGACGGTAGAAGGGGACTGACTCGTCGAAGGTGACGTCCTGGGAGGACAGAACACGACGAGAGGAGGGGTGGTAAAACTGCCACCCTGGGGCGTCAGTGGGGAAGCCAAGGAAGACACAGGGAGCAGCACGAGGGGACAGCTTGTCCGCAGACAAGTCGCGGACAAACGCCCGAGATCCCCAGACACGGAACGCCGACGCATCGCCAACCTTCCCCGTCCACAGTAAGACCGGGGACATCGCAGGCCGAGAGACCCGGGGATGAAGGTTGAGCTGATGCGCCGCGTACCTCACCGCAAACGGCCACAGAAAATGGGGGGCAGCCGCATGCATCATGGACGTACGAGCGACATCCATGACCATGCCAATGCGGCGCTCAGCAATCCCATTTTGCTGTGGTGAGTCCGGAAGCGTGAAGGTCTGGCGGATCCCCCGTGCACGACAGTAGTCTCGCAGAAGGCGAGAGGAGAACTCTCCGCCTCTGTCCGAGTGCAGACGCAGAACAGGAAAGTCCGAGCCGAAGCTCTTCCTGAGCTGGAGACGAGCCTCGCGGATCCAGTTGATCAGCACCTCAGTGACCGCACCCTTGCTGCGCAAGGGGAGGACTGTGGTGTAACGCGAGTAGTCGTCAACCACCAACAGGAAGTAGCGCTCGTGACCCTGCCCACGGACGGGGGCTGGGCCCCACACATCCATGTGAAGCGTCTGCAGGGGAGCCTCTGTCGGGGGGAAGTGGGAGGAGTGAGGAGTAGCCCGGAGGCGACCCTCGACACAGGGGACACAGGAAGGTCCTGGCCCGGAGGGGAGAGGAGGGAGAGACTGGGGAAGACCAGAGACAAGGACACGCGAGGCCATGCTCCGAAGCCGGGGCAAGGAGGGGTGGCCAAGACGGTGGTGCCACAGGAGAGTCTCGTGAGACAGGAGGCGACAAGAACAGGGGGCAGACTCAGGACCTGACCGGGACGCAGCAGCAAGCACCTGACCTGACGCAGCTACCTGACCGGACGCAGGGACAGGAGGAGACGAAGTGGTCAGGGTGTAGAGACTCGACCCCGGCCGACGCGAGAAGGTGGCCAGGTGTCGGCCTGTGCGTGCGTCCGTGCAGTGGGTCACCCGCTGACTCGCAGGAGTGAACTGGTGAACCCCCGCATCCTGCAGGGCTGCACCACTCACCAAGTTCGTAGAGAACGAGGGAAGGTACAGACCAGACAGGGCGCCCGAAGGGGCAGCCGGACACGGGAGGACAGTGGAGAAGTGAGACAGGACTGGACCCCCAGAGGGGTCAGCAAGGGAGACCGCAACCGGCCGGCCGAGCGGCGTAAGGGTAGTGCGGTCTCGAAAGAAGGAGCGAGAAGCCCCGGAGTCAAGTGTGAAAGTGAGGGAGGACGAGGGCGATGCAGTACCTGAGAGCGCAGTCTCACCAGTACCTGAGAGCGCAGACGCACTGGCACCTAGAGCAGCAGCCTCACAAGCACCTAGCGCAGCAGTACCAATGCCCGGGTCGGGCTGGAAACACCGGTAACCCTCATTCTCCTCACTACAAGTCACAGCATACATAGCAGCAAGGATAGCATCAAAATCAAGATCAAAGATCGCTACACCAGCCCTAAGAAGCTCATCCCAGCGAGGGATCTCACTAGCCCCGGGGAACTGCTGACGCCAAGCGTCCGTCAGGCGGCCAAAGCAGCGCTGGGTGGCGTGGGCACCCCCACACTGCTCACCCGCGTGGTCGCCGGAACGAAGAACGTAGGTGCAGGGACCAGTACCCCCACCCCTCTGACGCCCAGCGTACCACTCACGAAGCTGCTGAGGCGGAGGGATGTCCCGCGAGCGCTGCTGCTGCTGCCGCTGCGAGCGCTGGCCACCACCACCGCCGCTACGCTGCTGGGTACCTCGACCAGCTCCACCTCCTCCACCACCACCGCCTCCTCCGCTGCCGCCTCCACCGCCTCCACCTCCGCCGCCTCCACCTCCGCCGCTGCCTCCACCACCACTGCTGCCACCACCACCACCGTCTCCGCCGCTGCTGCCACTACCACCACCACCCCCGCCACTAGTCCCGCCGCCACCCCCACTCCCTCCGCCGCCACCGCCGCCACCGCCACCGCCCCCTCCAGCTCCACCCGCGCCCTTGCCTCCCTTGCCCTTGCTGGAGCGACGTCTCCCACTAGGGGCAGACGCCGCGCCGACCGACTCAAGACCAAGCAGGTCGGCAGCAGCAGCAGAGGCAACAGAGGGCAGCAAGGGGGAAGGAGAGCACCCCTCAAAGATGGGGGTGCGAGGGTCACCACGAGAAGCACCTACAGCGACTATGCTCTTCTCCGCTGCGAGGAGGGCCTTCTCGAGGAGGTCGACGGTGAGGGTGGTGGGACAGACTGCGAGAAAGTGGTCCCTGACTACGCGAAGGGAGTCAGGGAGGCGCGCGACTACGTAGTAGAGAGCGATGTACATGGGGGGTGGGTTCTTAGCGCAGAACTCAGCAGGAAGGGCGGCGCGGTAGCGAGTGTCACTAGTGCGGAGGTGCGTAATGAGGTCAGCGACAGTGGGAAAGGCAGAGAGGTCAGGAAAGAGGTAGGGAAGCATGAGACGGCTCAGTGCAGCAGTGGCAGGGGAGGAGTAGCGCGCAACTACAGCGTCGTACAAGGTCTGAGCACTCTTGTACTGACTAAAGTGCGCACGCTCAGAGGTAGGGAGGTGGCGACGCACAGCAAGACGTGCAGCAGCATCGCGGGTGGCCCACTGAGAGCGGACAGTGGGATCAGCATCAGCAGCAGGAGCAGGAGAGGCGCCAGAGGTGAGGTCAAAGAGAGAAAGGCCGTCAGCCCTGTCGCACTGTAAGAACAGCTGCAGGTCGTCTAACCAGACCTCAAAATCAATGGCGCGACCCTCAGCGTCAAAAGCTAGGACACTAGGGGTAGCCATGGCGACGACAGCAAAGCAGTGCAAGCTGTAGGGGAAGAGCACGCAGTGACAGTGGGACCGTGCTCACCCGACAGGGCAGGAAGTGCAGCTCTGCAGAAAGGCGGCTCGGCTCCCGGGCGGCTCGGCGGCAGGGCGGCTCGGGTGCAGGGCGGCTCGGCTCCCGGGCGGCTCGGCGGCAGGGCGGCTCGAGTGCAGGGCGGCTCGGCTCCCGGGCGGCTCGGCGGCAGGGCGGCTCGGGTGCAGGGCGGCTCGGCTCCCGGGCGGCTCGGCGACAGGGCGGCTCGGGCGCAGGGCGGCTCGGTTCCCGGGCGGCTCGGCTGCACTGCTGCCCGACTGCTGCAGGTGGGGCGGCGGGGCCGCGTGAGAGAACTGGGGCGGGGCCGCGTGAGAGCCGGCGGCAGGGCCGCGTGAGGGCCGGCGGCGGGGCCGCGTGAGAGCCGGGGCGGGGCCGCTGCAGAGCTGGCGGCGGGGCCGCTTAAGAGCCGGGGCAGGGGCCGCGTCAGGGCCGGCGGCGGGGCCGTAAGAGAGCCGGCGGAGGGGTCGTGGGAGGGCCGGCGGCGGGGCCGCGTAAGAGCCGGGACGGGGCCACGATCAGGAGGCGGCGGCGGGGCCGCTTAAGAGCCGACGGCGGGGCCGTGGGAGGGCCGGCGGCGGGGCCGCGTAAGAGCCGGGACGGGGCCGCGATCAGGAGGCGGCTGCGGGGCCGCGTCAGAGCCGGCGGCGGGGCCTCGTCGGGGCGGGCGGCGGGGCCGCGTTGGAGCCGGCGGCGAGGCCGGCTAAGAGCCGGCGGCGGGGCCGCTGAGGAGCCGACGGTGGGGCCACGTCAGAGCCGGCAGCGGGGCCTCGTCGATGCGGGCAGCGGGGCCGCGTTGGAGCCGGCGGTGAGGCCGGCTAAGAGCCGGCGGCGGGGCCGCGTAGGAGCCGACGGCGGGGCCGCGTCAGGGCCGGCGGCGGGCCGCGATCAGCGGGCGGCGGGGCCGCGTCAGAGCCGGCGGTGGGGCCGCTTCAGTGGAGGCGGCGGGGCCGCGTCAGAGGAGGCGGCGGGGCCGCGTCAGAGGAGGCGGCGGAGCCGCGTCAAGCAGGGGTGGCGGGGCCGCGTCAGAGGGACAGCGGGGCCCCGAGAGCAATGGCGACCCGAAGGGTCGCGAAAAAAATGCGCGCCTCGGGGCGCGCTTCGGTGGGCCCTTAAAAAACGGTCCTTAGGAAGGACCCGCTGTATACCATATGAGAGTAAGAGAACAGGGACGAATGAACTAGCAGTGAAATGAGTACAAGTAGGAAACCCTAGAATTGTGTACCCCCTATAGGCTAACCCACTGTAGCCTACACAAGCATAACATATATGATGTTTGACATAGCATGTGCAAAATTGCAAGAACAAGGGCCTAGCGTGTGCAAATAAAAAGAACAAGAGCATAGCGTGTGCAAAATAGCAAGAACAAGGGCCTAGCGTGTGCAAAATAAAAAGAACAAGGGCCTAGCGTGTGCAAGATTGCAAAAACAAGGGCCTAACGTGTGCAAAATTGCAAGAACAAGGGCCTAGCGAGTGCAAAATAGCAAGAGCAAGGGCCTAGCGTGTGCAAAATTGCAAGAACAAGGGCCTAGCGAGTGCAAAATAGGAAGAGCAAGGGCCTAGCGTGCGCAAAAAATCAAGAACAAGGGCATAGCGTTCGCAAAATAGCAAGAGCAAGGGCCTAGCGTGTGCGAAATAAAAAGAACAAGGGCATAGCTTGTGCAAAATAGCAAGAGCACGGGCCTAGCGTATGCAAAATAAAAAGAACAAGGGCATAGCGTGTGCAAAATACCAAGAACAAGGGCCTAGCGTGTGCAAATTAAAAAGACCAAGGGCCTAGCGTGTGCAAAATAAAAAGAACAAGGGCATAGCGTGTGCAAAATAGCAAGAACAAGGGCCTAGCATGTGCAAAATAAAAAGAACAAGGGCCTAGCGTGTGCAAAATAAAAAGAACAAGGGCCTAGCGTGTGCAAAATAAAAAGAACAAGGGTCTAGCATGTGCAAAATAGCAAGAGCAAGGGCCTAGCGTGTGTAAAATAAAAAGAACAAGGGCATAGCGTGTGCAAAATAGCAAGAACAAGGGCCTAGCGTGTGCAAAATAAAAAGAACAAGGGCCTAGCGTGTGCAAAATAAAAAGAACAAGGGCCTAGCGTGTGCAAAAAAAAAAGAACAACGGCATAGCGTGTGCAAAATAGCAAGAACAAGGGCCTAGCGTGTGCAAAATAAAAAGAACAAGGGCCTAGCGTGTGCAAAATAAAAAGAACAAGGGCCTAGCGTGTGCACAATTTCAAGAACAAGGGCCTAGCGTGTGCAAAATTGGAAGAACAAGGGACTAGCGAGTGCAAAATAGCAAGAGCAAGGGCCTAGCATGTTCAAAAAATCAAGAACAAGGGCCTAGCGTTCACGAAATAGCAAGAACAAGGGCCTAGCGTGTGCAAAATAGAAAGAACAAGGGTCTGGCATGTGCAAAATTGCAAGAACAAGGGCCTAGTGTGTTCAAAATAAAAAGAACAAGGGCATAGCATGTGCAAAATAGCAAGAACAAGGGCCTAGCATGTGCAAAATAAAAAGAACAAGGGCCTAGCGTGTGCAAAATAAAAAGAACAAGGGCCTAGCGTGTGCAAAATTGCAAGAACAAAGGCCTAGCGTGTGCAAAGTTGCAAGAACAAGGGCCTAGCGAGTGCAAAATAGCAAGAGCAAGGGCCTAGCGTGTGCAAAAAAACAAGAACAAGGGCCTAGCGTTCGCGAAATAGCAAGAGCAAGGGCCTAGCGTGTGCAAAATAAAAAGAACAAGAGTCTAGCATGTGCAAAATTGCAAGAACAAGGGCCTAGCGTGTGCAAAATTGCAAGAACAAGGGCCTAGCGAGTGCAAACTTGCAAGAGCAAGGGCCTAGCGTGTGCAAAAAATCAAGAAAAAGGGCCTAGCGTTCGCGGAATAGCAAGAGCAAGGGCCTAGCGTGTGCAAAATAAAAAGAACAAGGGTCTAGCATGTGCAAAATTGCAAGAACAAGGGCCTAGCGTGTGCAAAATAAAAAGAACAAGGGCATAGCGTGTGCAAGATAGCAAGAACAAGGGCCTAGCTTGTGCAACATAAAAAGAACAAGGGCCTAGCGTGTGCAAAATAAAAAGAAGAAGGGCCTAGTGTATGCAAAATTGCAAGAACAAGGGCCTAGCGTGTGCAAAATTGCAAGAACAAGGGCCTATCGAGTGCAAAATAGCAAGAGCAAGGGCCTATGTGTGCAAAAAATCAAGATCAAGGGCCTAGCGTTCGCGAAATAGCAAGAACAAGGGCCTAGCGTGTGCAAAATAAAAAGAACAAGGGTCTAGCATTTGCAAAATTGCAAGAACAAGGGCCTAGCGTGTGCAAAATAAAAAGAACAAGGGCATAGCGTCTGCAAAATAGCAAGAACAAGGGCCTAGCGTGTGCAAAATAAAAAGAACAAGGGCCTAGCGTGTGCAAAATAAAATGAGCAAGGGCCTAGCGTGTGCAAACTTGAAAAAACAAGGGCCTAACGTGTGCAAAATTGCAAGGACAAGGGCCTAGCAAGTGCAAAATAGTAAGAGCAAGGGCCTAGCGTGTGCAAAATTGCAAGAATAAGGGCCTAGCGAGTGCAAAATAGGAAGAGCAAGGGCCTAGCGTGCGCAAAAAATCAAGAACAAGAGCATAGCGTTCGCAAAATAGCAAGAGCAAGGGCCTAGCGTGTGCGAAATAAAAAGAACAAGGGCATAGCGTGTGCAAAATAGCAAGAGCAAGGGCCTAGCGTGTGCAAAACAAAAACAACAAGGGCATAGCGTGTGCAAAATAGCAAGAACAAGGGCCTAGCGTGTGCAAATTAAAAAGAACAAGGGCCTAGCGTGTGCAAAATCAAAACAACAAGGGTCTAGCATGTGCAAAATAGCAAGAGCAAGGGCCTAGCGTGTGCAAAATAAAAAGAACAAGGGCATAGCGTGTGCAAAATAGCAAGAACAAGGGCCTAGCGTGTGCAAAAAAAAAAGAACAAGGGCCTAGCGTGTGCAAAATAAAAAGAACAAGGGCCTAGCGTGTGCAAAATTGCAAGAACAAGGGCCTAACGTGTGCAAAATTGCAAGAACAAGGGCCTAGCGAGTGCAAAATAGCAAGAGCAAGGGCCTAGTTTGTGCAAAAAATCAAGAACAAGGGCCTAGCGTTCGCGAAATAGCAAGAACAAGGGCCTTGCGTGTGCAAAATAAAAAGAACAAGGGTCTAGCATGTGCAAAATTGCAAGAACAAGGGCCTAGCATGTGCAAAATAAAAAGAACAAGGGCATAGCGTGTGCAAAATAAAAAGAACAAGGGCATAGCGTGTGCAAAATAAAAAGAACAAGGGCCTAGCGTGTGCAAAATAAAAAGAACAAGGGCCTAGCGTGTGCAAACTTGCAAGAACAAGGGCCTAGCGTGTGCAAAATTTCAAGAACAAGGGCCTAGCGAGTGCAAAATAGCAAGAGCAAGGGCCTAGCGTGTGCAAAAAATCAAGAACAAGGGCCTAGCGTTCGCGAAATTGCAAGAACAAGGGCCAAGCATGTGCAAAATAAAAAGAACAATGGTCTAGCATGTGCAAAATTGCAAGAACAAGGGCCTAGCGTGTGCAAAATAAAAAGAACAAGGGCATAGCGTGTGCAAAATAGCAAGAACAAGGGCCTAGCGTGTGCAAAATAAAAAGAACAAGCGCCTAGCGTGTGCAAAATAAAAAGAACAAGGGCCTAGCGTTTGCAAAATTGCAAGAACAAGGGCCTAGCATGTGCAAAATTGCAAGAACAAGGGCCTAGCATGTGCAAAATAAAAAGAACAAGGGCATAGCGTGTGCAAAATAAAAAGAACAAGGGCATAGCGTGTGCAAAATACAAAGAACAAGGGCCTAGCGTGTGCAAAATAAAAAGAACAAGGGCCTAGCGTGTGCAAAATTGCAAGAACAAGGGCCTAGCGTGTGCAAAATTGCAAGAACAAGGGCCTAGCGAGTGCAAAATAGCAAGAGCAAGGGCCTAGCGTGTGCAAAAAATCAAGAACAAGGGCCTAGCGTTCGCGAAATTGCAAGAACAAGGGCCTAGCATGTGCAAAATAAAAAGAACAATGGTCTAGCATGTGCAAAATTGCAAGAACAAGGGCCTAGCGTGTGCAAAATAAAAAGAACAAGGGCATAGCGTGTGCAAAATAGCAAGAACAAGGGCCTAGCGTGTGCAAAATAAAAAGAACAAGGGCCTAGCGTGTGCAAAATAAAAAGAACAAGGGCCTAGCGTTTGCAAAATTGCAAGAACAAGGGCCTAGCATGTGCAAAATTGCAAGAACAAGGGCTTAGCGAGTGCAAAATAGCAAGAGCAAGGGCCTAGCGTGTGCACAAAATCAAGAACAAGGGCCTAGCGTTCGCGAAATATCAAGAACAAGG